TGACATTGGGGGGGACAAGAACTCCAATTTTGCTAAATGAGGGTAAGGAATTGGTGACATTGGGGGGGACAAGAACTCCAATTTTGCTAAATGAGGGTAAGGAATTGGTGACATTGTGGGGGACAAGAACTCCAATTTTGCTACATAAGGGTAAGGAATTGGTGACATTGGGGGGGACAAGAACTCCAATTTTGCTAAATGAGGGTAAGGAATTGGTGACATTGTGGGGGACAAGAACTCCAATTTTGCTAAATAAGGGTAAGGAATTGGTGACATTGGGGGGGATAAGAACTCCAATTTTGCTAAATAAGGGTAAGGAATTGGTGACATTGGGGGGGACAAGAACTCCAATTTTGCTAAATGAGGGTAAGGAATTGGTGACATTGGGGGGGACAAGAACTCCAATTTTGCTAAATGAGGGTAAGGAATTGGTGACATTGTGGGGGGGACAAGAACTCCAATTTTGCTACATAAGGGTAAGGAATTGGTGACATTGGGGGGGACAAGAACTCCAATTTTGCTAAATAAGGGTAAGGAATTGGTGACATTGGGGGGGACAAGAACTCCAATTTTGCTAAATAAGGGTAAGGAATTGGTGATATTGGGGGGACAAGAACTCCAATTTTGCTAAATAAGGGTAAGGAATTGGTGACATTGGGGGGGACAAGAACTCCAATTTTGCTAAATAAGGGTAAGGAATTGGTGACATTGTGGGGGACAAGAACTCCAATTTTGCTAAATGAGGGTAAGGAATTGGTGACATTGGGGGGACAAGAACTCAAATTTTGCTAAATAAGGTTAAGGAATTGGTGACATTGGGGGGGACAAGAACTCCAATTTTGCTAAATGAGGGTAAGGAATTGGTGACATTGGGGGGGACAAGAACTCCAATTTTGCTAAATGAGGGTAAGGAATTGGTGACATTGATCTGATGGAGAGAGGGCAGGACTCTCCTTAGGATCCTGCAGGTTTGGAGGGGAACTTTATTGGAGCAGATGGGAAAGTCACAGCCTTGGTTTTCAGTAGATTATGTTTTTTTATCAAGGGCAGAGCCTGACCACAGAGTGTGGGGCAGGGAGAGGTTTATTTTGTGTACTTTGAAATGCCTAAATCCATGTTCTAGCTGCTGTATCCTGCCTTTCAGTGAGGCAGAATACAGAACAGAGAAGGGAAACCTGCAGCTGGTAGCCAGGACACTTAGGGGTGTAAAATATATAAATTATAAATAAAAATACATAAATAATATGTTTATGATTTAGAAATAAATCTATAAATATAGAAAATATATTTATAAATATATGTTTATATACTATAAAAATATATATTTATAAATATATATTTATATACTATAAAACAGAAATAATATGTATAAATTAATTCTATATCAAATATATAAAAAGTCTGTAAAATTATATAAAATATAAGTAATATGTATAAATAAATTAAATAATTCTATATCAAATATATAAAAATCTATAAAACTATATAAAATATAAGTAATATGTATAAATAAATGAAATAATTCTATATCAAATATATAAAAATCTATAAAATTATATAAAATATAAGTAATATGTATAAATAAATGAAATAATTCTATATCAAATATATAAAAATTCTGTAAAATTATATAAAATATAAGTAATATGTATAGATAAATTAAATAATTCTATATTAAATATATAAAAATCTATAAAATTATATAAAATATAAGTAATATGTATAAATAAATGAAATAATTCTATATCAAATATATAAAAATTCTGTAAAATTATATAAAATATAAGTAATATGTATAGATAAATTAAATAATTCTATATTAATACATAAACGTTTATATGGAATAATATAAAATATAAGTAATATGTATAAATGCATTAAATAATTATATATTAATATATAAACATTTATATGGAATTATATAAAATATAAACAATATGTATAGATAAATAAAATATTTATATATTGAAATATTTTCAATTATATAAAATAATATCAAATCTAAATAATATATATAAATGAATTAAAATAATGTATAAATAACATAAAATAATTCCAGTGGGTATGGACAGGGTGGGAGGTGTGGACACCACATCCTGCTGAGTTGTTTCTTGGTGGCAAAAGAGGTGAAAATACCACAGGGCTTGTGTTAAAAGGAGGAAGGTGTTGAGCAGAGGCTGCATTTAGAGGCATAGGGAGAGAGCAGAGCAGAAAAGGTGTTGGAATTGTGTAGAGTGGGAGCAGCAGGTGAGGAGCTGCTGGGGTGGCTCTTTCCATCCCCACAGAGCTTTGGTCCCACTCTGTTAAAAGCCAAAAGCAGAGCTGCTCTTAGGGAGATGCAGAAAAAACCTAAAATCCTGAAATGCCTTTCAGAAAGAAATGCTAAAATCCTAAAGAAATGCTAAAATCCTAAATCCCACGTGGTTCCTGTTACAGCAGCAAAGCTGCTGGTAATGTTTGAGTTGGTGAGAGTGAGGAACTTTGTTGTTTCATGAGGTGAAAACTCAATTTTTTTTAAATGAAGGCTTCATCCCTGCTGCAGAAGGGCTTGGCTGAGACCTCAGTGCAGGATTGGCTGAGTTTGGTTCATCCCCCTGCAACTCCCAGTGCCTTAAACATCTCAGAAATAATAATTTTATCCAGAAATCCTGGTGCTTTGGAAAATGCCCCTTGGGCATCCTCACTGATGTTCTCTGCTCCACCCCAACCCCAGAGTGGTGGGTGCTGAGGTTTCAGGTGTAAATTGTGATGGTTCCAGTGGAAAGGACAATTCCCAAAGCATTTGCTGCCTGCAGATTCCTGGGAGAAGCTGTCCAACAGCATATGAAAAATGAACTGCTTTGTAGCACTGATATTCCCCATTCCCTGGAATTTTCCCCTCATTTAAACAGTTTTTTGGCACTGTGTAATTGTGTAACTGCTGCATTTGGTCCATCATCTATTGAGGAATTTTCTTACCTGTGACAGTGTTGGAGCTCCTTGAAACTGTTACAGGATTCTGTAGCTTTTTATTAAGTATAGACCACCTCATTTTGGGCTTGAAATAATCTATTTCACATTTAAAGGAGTGTTTCTATAGGGGAAACAACTCTCTTGCTGGGGATGAGGAATAAAAGGGGTAAAGAAAAAAATAGGATAATTAAATCTCCTTAATAATTAAAAGGAGGTAATAATAATGATTATTATTATTATTTAATAATTAAAGAAAAGTAATAATAATGATTATTAATATTTATTATTAATAATGAATCATATAATAATCTCATTAATAATAAAAAAAGGAAACGTAAAGAGAAGGATAATGCCATTGGCTGGAATGAATATCCCAGGTTGACATAATCATTTCAAATACCAATATTTTTACCATCATAATTTCAAATACCAATATATTTACCATCATAATTTCAAATACCAAACTTTTTACTATAATAATTTCAAATACCAAACTTTTTACCATCATAATTTCAAATACCAATATTTTTACTATAACAATTTCAAATACCAAACTTTTTACTGTAATAATTTCAAATACCAAACTTTTTACCATCATAATTTCAAATACCAATATTTTTACTATAACAATTTCAAATACCAATATATTTACCATCATAATTTCAAATACCAAATTTTTTACTACAATAATTTCAAATACCAATATTTTTACCATCATAATTTCAAATACCAAATTTTTTACTATAATAATTTCAAATACCAATATTTTTACCATCATAATTTCAAATACCAAACTTTTTACTACAATAATTTCAAATAACAATATTTTTACCATCATAATTTCAAATACCAATATTTTTACCATCATAATTTCAAATACCCAACTTTTTACCATCATAACTTCAAATACCAAATTTTTTACTATAATAATTTTAAATACCAAATTTCAAAAAATTGCACCTTCACTACTGGAAATAAAGTCCAGGCTGCTGTTTTGTGTCTTATCCATCCAAATTAAATCTGTGGGATAGTGGTTGAATCCAGGCTCAGCACTGGAGCTGCCTCTGGAGTGGAATCACTGGGAGGCTGTGGTGGTGTTCACAGGGGTCCCAGGATGAGGGAAGAGATGAAAATCTTGACTCCATGTTTCAGAAGGCTGATTTATTATTTTATGATATATATTAAATGAAAATTATCTACTAAAACGATACTAAAGAATAGAAGAAAGGATTTCATCAGAAGGCTTGAAGGGAATAGCAAGCAATGAAATGATAATAAAATCTTGTGACTGACCAGAAAGTCTGAGACAGCTGGGCTGTGATTGGCCATTAATTAAAAACAACCACATGAGACCAATCCCAGATGCACCTGTTGCATTCCACAGCAGCAGATAATCATTGTTTTTCTTTTCCTCTGAGGCTTCTCAGGAGAAAAGATCCTAATGAAAGGGTTTTTCATAAAATATGTCGGTGACAGGAGTCTCTGGAGAGCTGGGGAGGGCTGGGTTTGGTCTCTGCCTTTGCTGTGTCGTGGTTCTGGCTTTAATTAAAATTAAAAACTGCTTTTGCCTCCAGGTCCTGTGTGCTGTGGCAATACCCGTGCCTGGGATGTGGAATGGCCCCAGTGCAGCATCCTCCCCCCAGAGAGAGAGAGAGGAGCTCCTGGAGGATCCCCATGGAAGGATCACCTTGCCCTCCCTGTCCCTGCTCTCACAGAACGAGCTGAAACCTCTGGCCCTGGGAGCTGCTCATCCCACGAGGTGAGAGAGTCAGGACAGAGCTGAGGATTAAATGTGAGGGGCAGAAAAACCCAGCTCAGGAGCTGAGGCACCACCGTGGGGCTGCATTTTCCCCATGCACTTCACACTGTGCATTTCTCAGCTGGCTTTAATCAGCACAAATATCCAGGTATCCAAACTGAATCTGACATCCAAAAATTCCAGTTATTTTGGAATATTCTGGTATTTTCAGTGTTGCTGCTGTTGATCCTTCCCAGTTCAGGCAATGGCTTTCCCACGTAGATATGATCAAAGCCCAGCCTTTAAAACTTCAGTTTTTGTTCAAATTGGCTTTTTTTAGCTTCCATTTTTGGGCTGCAGGCTCGAAGAAGAAGGAGATGGGTGAGATGAGAGCACAGGCTCCAGCAAAGAGGAAGGAGCAGGCGTAGGTCTGGGTGTAGTCATAGAGCCACCCTGCAGGAGAGAAGGTTGTTATTAAAGCTGGGGGATTTTTCTCAGTGAAAAAAATAATTCAGGGAGGTGGGTGGGAGGCAAAGGATGTGTGTTCTCATCTAAGAATTGCTCAGATATTTCCCTTATTTCCCTTAAATTATTTTAACTCTTCCTGGGCAGCATTTCCTGTAAGGAAATGACATGCAGGTCATTTTGCCCAGAGCCAACTTTGATCCCTGTAGTGGACATGGTGTTTAATTTAATGTGAATTTAATCCCTGATTTTTTTTTTTTTTTTCCTGTTTAAGTAAGTGGGCCAAAAGTGGCTGATGGAAGATTCTCTTGGACTGAAGGGATGACTTGCACATGTTGGTATTTGCAACATCTGGGCTGCAAACCCTCTGTTCTCCAGCCTTGTCTTCTTGTGAGCAGACCCAGTTTCATGTCCTTTGTCTAACAGGAGACACCCCAGGCCAGGAGCTGGAAGTGAACTTGATAAAAGTAGCTCTGGGAGGACTTAAAAGGAAAAGCTGAATTCCATTGAGCCTCAGGAATGTCTGGAGGATTCAGGTCACCTTTTAAAGTGACCTCCAAGTGTTGGGTTTGGTCCTGGCAAATCATCTGGGCTCTGGGCAGTCCTTTGAAAGGTGGAGAGTTCCTCTCTTTGAATCTAAAATCTGCAAAGTGCTGGGAGATGCTGCTGCTGCACATAAAAACCCTAATTCAGTCCCAAATGTGGTGTGGGGTGTGGGGGTGTGGGGCAGCAGCTGAGCCAGATCTGCTGCTGGTGTGAAATGCAATTCCTCTGGAGACATCCATGGAATCCAGACATCCATGGGCTTCCCTGAGTCACACAAACAGCAGATCTGGCCCAGAATTGAGCTCCTCAAACCCAGGAGGGGACAGAATACAGACCCTGAGTCACACAAACAGCAGATCTGACCCAGAACTGAGCTTCTTAAACGCAGGAAGGGACAGGATACAGACCCTGGCTTCCACAAACAGCAGATCTGACCCAAACCTGGGCTCCTCAAACCCAGGAAGGGACAGGATACAGACCCTGGGTTCCACAAACAGCAGATCTGGCCCAGAATTGAGCTTCTTAAACCCAGGAGGAGACAGGATACAGACCCTGAGTCACACAAACAGGAGATCTGACCCAGAATTGGGCTCCTCAAACCCAGGAAGGGACAGGATACAGACCCTGAGTCACACAAACAGCAGATCTGGCCCAAACCTGGGCTCCTCAAACCCAGGAGGGGACAGGATACAGACCCTGAGGCCCTGGGCTCAGAGCCATGGGAAGGGAGGGTGCCAGTGAGGTTTGGGATCTGTGCTGGGGCAGAGGCACTGCCATTCCCAGCTGTGGATTTCCACAGAAGGTTTTATACAGCACAGCACAGCTGCTTTTGCCCAGTTTCAGTTTCTCTTGGCTCACTGCTGTCTCAGGGGGAGTCCCTGTGTTTGCTCCTCGGGGATGGCCTGGGAGCCACGTGCTGGAGGAGCTGCAGCTGGAGAGGAGGATCCATGACCTGGTGGGATCTGCACCATGCTGGGATCCATCCCCTCCTGGGATCCATGCCCTGCTGGGATCTGCACCATGCTGGGATCCATGCCCTGCTGGGATCCATGCCCTGCTGGGATCCATCCTGTGGTGGGATCCATGCCCTGCTGTGATCCATCCCATGGTGGGATCCATCCCATGGTGGGATCCATCCCATGGTGGGATCCATGCCCTGCTGGGATCCATGCCCTGCTGGGATCCATGCCCTGCTGGGATCCATCCCCTCCTGGGATCCATCCCATAGTGGGATCCATGCCCTGCTGGGATCCATCCCATAGTGGGATCCATCCCATAGTGGGATCCATCCCATGGTGGGATCTGTACCATGGTGGGATCCATCCCCTCCTGGGATCCATCCCCTCCTGGGATCCATCTCATGGTGGGATCCATCCCCTCCTGGCATCCATGCCCTGCTGGGATCCATCCCGTGGTGGGATCCACCCCTTGGTGGAATCCACCCCCTCCTGGGATCCATCCTATTGTGGGATCCATGCCCTGCTGGCATCCATGCCCTGGTGGGATCCATCCTGTGGTGGGGTCCATCCCTGCTGTGATCCATCCCATCCTGGGATCCATCCCATGTTGGAATCCATCCCATGGTGGGATCTGTACCATGGTGGGATCCATGCCCTGCTGGAATCTATCCTGTGGTGGGATCCATGCCCTGCTGGGATCCATCCTGTGATGGGATCCATCCCATACTGGGATCCATCCTGTGGTGGGATCCATCCCTGCTGGGATCCATCCCATGTTGGAATCCGTCCCATGGTGGGATCTGTACCATGGTGGGATCCATGCCCTGCTGGGATCCATCCTGTGGTGGGATCCACCCCTTGGTGGAATCCACCCCCTCCTGGGATCCATCCCATGCTGGGATCCACCCCTTGGTGGAATCCACCCCTTCCTGGGATCCATCCCCTCCTGGGATCCATGCCCTCCTGGGATCCATGCCCTCCTGGGATCCATCCCTCCTGGGATCCATCCCTCCTGGGATCCATCCCCTCATGGGATCCATCCCCTCATGGGATCCATGTCCTGCTGGGATCCATCCCCTCATGGGATCCATCCCCTCCTGGATCCATCCCCTCCTGGATCCACCCCCTCCTGGATCCATCCCCTCCTGGGATCCATCCCCTGGTGCTGCACTGGGGGCCTCTCCCCTGACCCTGGGGTTCATTCCCAGGGCTGGGATCTGTTTCTGCTGCCTGGAAGTCTCTGGGATTTGGAAAGATATGCTGACGTAGTTATTTGTGAGAGGAACAGGACACAGTGCTCCAGTTGAGCTCTGATTTATTGCAATTCTTAAATTATCCTTCAGGATATTGCTTAATTTTATTTTTTTAAAATTTTCCTGGGTTTTTTTTGGTGCTGAATGGGATTTAGGTGCAATGGGATTTACCAGCATTGCCTCACTGGCAGCACAGCCACCAACTTCCATCACAGCCCAACCCTCTGAAGCAACTCCAGTCTCTGTGCCCCCAATTCATTTCCAAAACAAAACAATAATCACTCCTGCTGCTGAAAGCTGAACGAGGAGCTTGTGGTGTTCAAACCCCAGCAAAGCAGCAGTTTTGTGAGGAATGCTGGTAAATCCCAGCAATGTCATCCAAACTAAACATTCCCAGCACTGCTGCTGCTACCAGCTGGGTCTGGCTGTTTAAATTGTGCTGCTGATCTTTAATCAGAATTTTTATTTCTTCTTGATGCCCTGAGGAGCAAAATTCAGTGGGAAGGGGAAGGTAAAATTTAGCAAATATCTAAATACATGTAGCAGCAGAGATTTTGATGACTCCATCCTCTCCCTTTTCACCACCCAAATTTCTTGGGACTGGAGTTTGTCCTCTGGGGACTGGAATCTTTTCTAGAATTTGCTTTACATGCTTTGGTTCAGCTCTTTTGCATTTTGAGTCAGTGATTTGTACTGCTTGTGGAAATAAACTGTGCCCTTCTCTCCTCAGCTTGCTCCTGGCTGCCAAAATAATGTTTATTCTGCTTTGGGCTGGGCTTTTTCAGCATCCAGAGGTGCCAGTGGATGGGGAGCTCTGAAGGAAACTCCAAACTTCCCCTTTGGGTCCTGCCAGCTGCCCCTGGATTTCAGGGCTTTCAGCTGAACAGATTTGCAGGTAAGTCACCTTTTCCTTGCATTAGGCTTTGGTCTAATATGCAAATTAGGCAGTTTTAACCTTTGCAGTTCTCATTACCCATCATCATTATTTCTCCTGTGTAAAAGCATTTGAGTTTGATGAAATTGTAATTCTAAACTCAGGGGTTTTGGGAGGTGAAAGCACCAAATCCAAGGGTCTCAGAGTATTTAAATGCTGCATTCTGCAAGGAGCAGATGGTTTTGGACACTTCATCAGGAGTTTTTGGTCTCACTCAGTTTTCACACTTCAAACTGCATTGCAAGAGAAAATTGCAGAATTTATCTTGGATCCCAAGCCTGGATCCTGAGCTCTGGATTGTTTCAGGTAAGTCACCTTTTCCTTGCATTAGGCTTTGGTCTAATATGCAAATTAGGCAGTTTTAACCTTTGCAGTTCTCATTATCCATCATCATTATTTCCACTGCATAAAAACACTTGAGTTTGATGAAATTGTAATTCTAAACTCAAAGATTTTGGGAGGTGAGAACACCAAATCTCAGGGTTTTACAGAGTATTTAAATCCTGCATTCTGCAAGGAGCAGATGGTTTTGGACACTTCATCAGGAGTTTTTGGTCTCACTCAGTTTTCACACTTTAAACTGCATTGCAAGAGAAAATTGCAGAATTTATCTTGGATCCCTGAGCTCTGGATTGTTTCCATCTTGCTCTGCCTGTAATGAGATGGATCAGGAATTGTTTTGCTTCTTGGCTTTATTTGGCCTTTATTTATCCCACCTGCCTTAAGCCTGATTTCTGTGGCAAGCTTTTTGCAGGAAACCTGCTTTACAAACCCACTGCAGAAAACAAAAATCTTCCCATTAGTGCAGAAATATTGCAGCTGGATGGAAATTTAACTTCTTTTAACTGCAATGTGAATGTGGAGAAGTGACAGCCAGGGTGTTTAGCCCCTGCTGTGTTGCTGTGCCAGGGGATTCAGGGGAACTGAGGGATGGTTTTGTGCTCAGTGCACACCTTGTACAGCAGCAGGGATCTGCAATCCAGGCTCTGCATCACCCTGGCACTGGGAGCTCCTGGTCAATGAAATTTTTGGCTCCTTGAAATTGCATCCACAGATAGAGCAGAACCAGGGATATTGATTGGGAATGTAAATTTTTATAGACAGAACAGCAGCGTTGCTGAAACTTTGTATGGAGCTGGAATTTACAGCTTTGAGCTGGGTGCCTCTGCAGGCTGGGGGCAGCTGATTTGGAGAACAGGGAACAAAAAATGATGGTTTGGGTTGGAAGGAACCTTAAAACTGCTCCCATTCCACGCCTGCCATGCCAGGGACACCTTCCACTGTCCCAGATTACTCCAAGCTGGCCTTGGGCACTGCCAGGGATCCAGGGGCAGCCCAGGGGACTGAGGGATGGTTTTGTGCTCAGTGCACACCTTGTACAGCAGCAGGGATCTGCAATCCAGGCTCTGCATCACCCTGGCACTGGGAAGCTCCTGGTCCATGAAATCTTTTGGCTCCTTGAAATTGCATCCACAGATAGAGCAGAACCAGCCCAGGGATATTGATTGGGAATATTAATTTTTATGGAAAGAACAGCAGTGTTGCTGAAATTTTGCAAGGAGCTGGAATTTACAGAACCCTTGGCAGCTTCCAGCCAGGCACCTCTGCAGGCTGGGGGCAGCTGATTTGGAGGGCAGGGAACAAAAAATGATGGTTTGGGTTGGGAAGGGCCCTAAAGCTGCTCCCAATCCAGCCCCTGCCATGGACAGGGACACTTCCACTGTCCCAGGCTGCTCCAAACCCCTCCAGCCTGGCCTTGGGCACTGCCAGGGATCCACAGCTGCTCTGGGCACCCTGTGCCAGGGCCTGCCCACACTCACAGGGGAGAATTCCTTCCCAATATCCCACCTAACCCTTCCCTCTGGCAGTGGAAGCCATTCCCTGTGTCCTGTCACTGTTATATTTTATGAAAAATCCCTTCACCAGGATATTTCATAAAATATGACAGTGGCACTGTCCCTCCCTCCCTTGTCCCCAGTCCCTCTCCAGCTCTCCTGGAGCCCCTTCAGGCTCTGAGCCTTCTCCTCTCCAGGTGAGCACCCCCAGCTCTCCCAGCCTGGCTCCAGAGGGGCTCCAGCCCTTGGAGCATCTCCATGGGCTCCTCTGGACCCTCTCCAGCAGCTCCAAGTCCTCCTGATGTTCCCCAGGCTTGCAGCAGCTCTGGGGTCTCACCTGAGCAGGGCAGAGGGGCAGAATCCCCCCTTCCCCTGCTGCCCAGGCTGGGGCTTGCTCCAGGAGCTTGTTGGGCTGCAGGGAAGGAGAAGCTTTGTCCTGGCCAAGCTGTTTGGATGAGAACAAGTCCCCTGCTCCTTAGCACAGGCTGGACACTCATTTCTAAGCACTTGAAATCTCCCAAATCCTCCCAGCTGCCTTGGTTTCCTGGCAGAGGGAGAAGAGCAAATGCTTTTCATGCTCCTTATCTCTGGGCCCAGAGCTCTGGTGGCTGAGCTGTGTAATCTCTGTCAAAACAAGAGATTACTGAGGCTTCTCCTGATGTTTCAGTGCCTCTGCCTGGTGGGAATCTTGCTGAGTCTGTCCTTTCTTCCCCTCCAGTCCAAGTTCAGTGTTATTTTAACACCACTGGGAGTAAAATCCATGGAAATGTGCTTGTTACCCTGCTGTGCTCAGGGCTGAACTCTGCACGTGGGGCTTCACTGCATTTTCCAGATATTCCAGGCAGCATTTTCCAAGCTGCTGGTTGGATTTTGCAAATTCCCAAGCAAAATGTTGCCTGTCTATAAAAATACATTTCTGAAATAGGATTTTTTTTTTTCCTCTCTGTGTTTGAACAGAAACAGATGGATCCCTGTAGGAGAGTGAAGCAGCAGCATGGTTTATCCCTGGGTTTCTGGGGTGGCTGTGGGTTGTATAAAACATCACTCACCTGCTAGAGGGGGTCCTCCCATGGCTGCTATCCCTGCAAAGAAAGCAGCAAACCCCAGGTAGCTGTGGAGCTTCTCCACACCCACCAGATCCACCTGTTTGGAAACAAAAATAGATAATTAGTGATTGGCTTCATAGGAACGCATATGCACAAGAGATTAATTGATTTTTTTTTTTTTTTAAAGCACAAGAGATGATTTAATTCTCTTTTTCTGGGGAATTTCCTCTCCAGCTGCAGCTTTGGAAGGACTTTGCCCCTGTAGGGCTGATCCAGCCTGGAACCAGTTTGTGTCCCTAAGGCAGCTGTGGGAATGACTGGGATGGGAGAGGCTTCTCTGCCTTCAGCTGCCCAGCCCTGGAGGAAGGAGTTTGAAACTCTGAATGCATTCCAGAGAGAAATGCCAAATTACAATGGTGCCAGATTATAATCAGAGAATCCTGGGTATCCAGAGATATCCTGGGAGACTGGTTTGGGTTGGATGGGACTTCAAAGCCCATCCCTTCCACCCCTGCCATGGCAGGGACACCTTCACTGTCCCAGGCTGCTCCAAACCCCATCCAGCCTGGCCTTGGGCACTGCCAGGGATCCAGGGGCAGCCCCAGCTGCTCTGGGAATTCCATCCCAGCCCCTCCCCACCCTCCCAGGCAACAATTCCTAATTCCCAAATCCCATCCATGCCTGCCCTCTGGCAGTGGGAAGCCATTCCCCTTTTTCCTGTCCCTCCATCCCTGTCCCCAGTCCCTCTCCAGCTCTCCTGGATCCCCTTTAGCTCTGGAAGAGGCTCCAAGGGGATTTCCTGGATCCCTTTTGGGCACTGGAAGGGGCTCTAAGGAATCTCCTGGATCCCCTCTAGGGTCTGGGAGGGGCTCTGAGCTCTCCCTGGAGCCCCTTTAGGCTCTGGAAGGGGCTCTAAGGGGATCTCCTGGATCCCTTTTTAGCTCTGGAAGGGGCTTTTAGGGAATCTCCTGGATCCCTTTAGCTCTGGAAGGGGCTGTAAGGGAATCTCCTGGATCCCTTTAGCTCTGGAAAGGGCTCTGAGCTCTCCCTGGAGCCCCTTCAGGCTCTGGAAGGGGCTCTTAGGGAATCTCCTGGATCCTTTTTGGGCACTGAAAGGGGCTCCAAGGGGATCTCCTGAAACCCCTTTTTCTCTGGCAGGGGCTCTAAGGAATCTCCTGGATCCCTTTAGCTCTGGAAGGGGCTCAGAGCTCTCCCTGGAGCCCCTTCAGGCTCTGGAAGGGGCTCTTAGGGGATCTCCTGGATCCCTTTAGCTCTGGAAGGGGCTCAGAGCTCTCCCTGGATCCCTTTCAGCTCTGGAAGGGGCTCCAAGGGGATCTCCTGGATCCCCTTTAGCCCTGGCAGGGGCTCTAAGCTCTCCCTGGAGCCTTCTCCTCTCCAGGCTGAGCACTCCCAGCTCTCCAGGCTGGCTCCAGCCCTGGGAGCATCCCCGTGGTGTCCAGCAGGACCCTGCTGCAGGTCTGGGTGTCCCAGCTGATTCTGGGATGGTTTTGGGTGTCCCAGGATGGTTTTGGGATGGTTCTGGGTGTTCCAGGTGATTCTGGGATGGTTCTGGGTGTCCCTCTCAGGTGATTCTGGGATGGTTCTGGTTCTGGGATGTTTCTGGGTATCCCAGGTTATTCTGGGATGGTTCTGGGTGTCCCAGGATGATTTTGGGATAGTTCTGGGTGTCCCAGATGATTGTGGGATGATTCTGGGTGTCCCAGATGATTTTGGGATGATTCTGGGTGTCCCAGGATGGTTTTGGGATGGTTCTGGGTGTCCCAGGTGATTCTGGGATGGTTCTGGGTGTCCCAGGTGATTCTGGGATGGCTCTGGGTGTCCCAGGTGATTCTGATTCTGGGATGGTTCTGGTTCTGGGATGATTCTGGGTGTTCCAGGTGATTTTGGGATGGTTCTGGGTGTCCCACATGACTCTGGGATGGCTCTGGGTGTCCCACATGACTCTGGGATGGTTCTGGGTGTCCCAGGATGGTTTTGGGATAGTTCTGGGTGTCCCAGGTGATTCTGATTCTGGGATGGTTCTGGTTCTGGGATGGTTCTGGGTGTCCCAGCTGGCTCTGGGATGGCTCTGGGTGTCCCAGCTGGCTCTGGGATGGCTCTGGGTGTCCCACATGACTCTGGGATGGCTCTGGGTGTCCCAGCTGGCTCTGGGATGGTTCTGGGTGATTTTGGGACAGGAGCAGGACCCCCAGCCCTGTTGGGCCCCTCAGGACTCACCAGCACGGGCAGCACCAGGGCCATGAAGCCTCCACAGAAGGTGGCCAGGGACACGGTGTAGGCCAGCAGCAGGTGGAAGGTGGTGGCCAGCGGCCCCAGCAGGTTGGTGGCCCCGCTCAGGAGCAGGTAGGTGACATGGAAATGGTACCTCTGGGTCCACTTGTGGTCGGCCAGCCAGCCTGAGAGCAGCTGGCTCAGCATCTCTGTGATCCCTGGGGGAACAGCAGCGCTCAGACACTGCGCTCAGGGTCACCTGTAAATGCTATTCTTTCTAGATATTTTATACATCATTTATAAATTATATCAATTATGATTTCTAGATATTTCTAAAAATTATATTTATAAATTATTATTATTATTTTATAAATGATTTTTATAAATTCTTAGTAGAAATTTAATTATTTCTAAAATTATTATTTTATAAATGATTATGATCAATTATTTTTATAAATTATTAGATCTTTTTATAAATGATATCAATTATATATATATTTATGTATATAAATATATATTTATAAATTATATAAATTACGAATTTATTTTATAAATAATTTATTTATAATATATTTATTTGTATATAATTTATATATTATTTATAAATTTATATAATATAAATTATTATTTTATAAATGATTTATAAATGATTATGATCAATTATTTTTATAAATTATTAGATCTTTTTAGAAATGATATCAATTATATATATATTTATATATAAATATATATTTATAAATTATATAAATTATGAATTTATTTTATAAATAATTTATTTATAATATATTTATTTGTATATAATTTATATATTATTTATAAATTTATATAATATAATTTATAAATTATTATTTTATAAATGATTTATAAATGATTATGATCAATTATTTTTATAAATTATTAGATCTTTTTAGAAATGATATCAATTATATATATATTTATATATATATAAACATATATTATATTTATACATTATATAAATTATGATTTCTAGATATTTCTAGAAATTATCTTTATAAATTATTATTATTTTATAAATTAATTTTTATACATTCTTAGTAGAAATTTAAATTATTTCTAAAATTATTTTATAAATGCTTATGATCAATTATTTTTATAAATTATTAGATCTTTTTAGAAATGATTTATAAATTATATAAATTATGATTTCTAGATGTTTCTAGAAATTATATTTATCTTTATAAATTATTATTATTTTATAAATGATTTATAAATTATTATGATCAATTATTTTTATAAATTGTTAGATCTTTTTATAAATTATTTATAAATTATATGAATTATGATTTCTAGATATTTCTAGAAATTATCTTTATAAATTATTATTTTATAAATTATTTTTTATACATTCCTAGTAGAAATTTAAATTATTTCTAAAATTATTATTTTATAGATGATTTATAAATGATTATGATCAATTATTTTTATAAATTATTAGATATTTTTAGAAATTATTTATAAATTATATCCATTATGATTTCTAGATATTTCTAGAAATTATCTTTATAAATTATTATTATTATTTCATAAATGATTTTTATAAATTCTTAGTCGAAATTTAATTATTTCTAAAATTATTATTTTATAAATGATTTATAAATGATTATGATCAATTATTTTTATAAATTATTAGATCTTTTTATAAAATGATATCAATTATATATATTTATATATATAAATATATATTATATTTATAAAGTATATAAATTATGAATTTATTTTATAAATTATTTATAATATATTTATTTTAGAAAATTTATATATTATTTATAAATTTATATAATATAATTTATAAATTATTATTTTATAAATGATTTATAAATGATTATGATCAATTATTTTTATAAATTATTAGATATTTTTAGAAATTATTTTTATAAATTATTATAAACTTCATATACATCTATTAGCTATCATAAATTTAGCTGGATTTTAGAGTGTTTTATATGATTATATTTATTATTTGTAGTATACGTAATATATTAAGATTTGACTTTGTGCAGTATTGAAATTCTATTATTTCTAGGTATTTTTATATGTTATTGCTTCATATAAATTCATTAGATATTATAAATTTAGCCATATTTTATAGTATTTTATAAGATTATTTTTATTACTTGTAGTATATGTAATATATTAAGATTTGACTTTGTGCAATGTTGAAATTCTGTTATTTCTATATATTTTTATATATTATTACTTCATACACATTTGTTAGATATAAATTTAGCTGGATTTCATAGTATTTTGTATTATTTTTAAATTATTTAGCGTATATGTAATATATTGAGACTTGATTTTTTGTAATATTGAAATTCTATCATTTCTAGATATTTTATATATTATTATTTCATATAAATTTATTAGATATTATAAATCTAGCTGTATTTTATACTATTTTATAATATTATTTTTATTATTTGTAGTATATGTATTATATTGATACTTACAGTATTTTATCTTTCATATTACTAATATTATAGTTTATTATCAGCCATAATATATAATTTATATTATATTATAGTATATTATAGTGTATTTTAGTGTATAATATATTTTTATATTATCTGTATTATTTTCTATTAGTAACTGTATTTCATATAGTTAAATTTTACTTATCCTCACATTACTATATTTATTATTTAGTATTTGCATATTTTTAATATTTTTATATTTTTATTTTACATTATAATACAATATTACATATTATATATTCTAATATAGTTATATTTTATGTTATTTTATATTATTTATATTATTTTTATTCCTTATGTGTGTTAGACTTGATTATTTATATTAACCCTAATAGTTTATTTTTTATTTATTTTATAATATTATTTGCACTATTTTATATTACTATATACATTATTTTATGCATGTTTATTTCTATAGTTTTAAATTATTAAGATTTATTACTGATTTTTATAATATTGCTTTTTTTTTTAATTCAATATTATTTCTATTATTGGCTGGGTCACATCCCAATTTCCCTGTTCATTATGAGGACGTGACCACAAAAGCCTAAAATTCGAGAAAGTTCCAGATATTTTTAGGCTGTTACAAAATCCAGGGATTGGGATTTTCCCTTTTCCCTTGTGCTGCTCTTCCCAAGGGCACCAAAGTGCTCTGGGAAAATTCCCTTTACGGGGGAATTTCACCCTTCAGGTGAAATCTGCACCCTCAAATGCCCTAAATCAGGACAGAGGAACCTGCTGAAGAGAAAAATCTGAATATTAAGAAGAAAATTGCGGCTGAGATTTTAATTTTTCTTAAAATCAATTCTATTTAAAATCTAAAATTTAATTTTTCTAAAACCCCAGGCATTTTGTAGAAACCCAGGCATTTTAGAGGCTCAGCAGCCTTTTAGTTGTTGGGGTTTTGAGAGTCTTTGTTTTGAGAGTTGGAGTTTTGAGGGATGTTTTTTACATTTCTTGGTACATTTTTATGAAGCAAAGATCAAGGAGCTCTCAGGTGAGCTCATGTCCCACTGAGCCCTGTGTCCCTCCCACTCCTAATCCCAAATATCCCATTAATTCCTGGGGAATCCTAACACCTCAACAACCCCTCCCTGCTGAATATTCCCCAGCACTGCAGAAATAAAATTTTTGTATTTTTGTACAATAAAATATTTGCTGCTGATTGAGGCTGGAGCCATTTTCTTACCCCAGCATAGCTTTAGTGTTAATCCTGGCTTAAAACCAGGCAGGGGTTTGGGTTTTGGGGAGTGTGCCTTAAACCAGGCATGGGTTTGGGTTTGGGAACTGTTCTTTATAACCAGCCATGGGTTTGGTTTTTGGGGAGTGTCCCTTGTTTTTCCCCACTTGGAGTTTGGGATGGGCCAAATCCAAATGCCTGGATCTGGTTTAGGTTTTGGGGAGTGTGCCTTAAAACCAGGCATGGGTTTGGGTTTGGGAACTGTTCTTTATAACCAGGCATGGGTTTAGGTTTTGGGGAATCTGCCTTAAAACCAGGTATGAGTTTGGTTTTTGGGAGTGCTCTTTATAACCAGGCATGGGTTTGGTTTTTGGGGAGTTTGCCTTGTTTTTTCCCCACTTGGAGTTTGGGATGGGCCAAATCCAAATGCCTGGATCTGGACATGGGTTTGGGTTTTGGGGAGTGTGCCCTAAAACCAAGCATGGATTTGGTTTTTGGGGAGTGTGCCTTAAAAACAAGCATGGGTTTGGTTTTTGGAGACTGTCCTTTATAACCAGCCATGGGTTTGGTTTTTGGGGAGTGTCCCTTGTTTTTTCCCCACTTGGAGTTTGGGATGGGCCAAATCCAAATGCCTGGATCTGGGCATGGGTTTGGGTTTTGGGGAGTGTGCCTTAAAACCAGGCATGAGTTTGGTTTTTGGGAGTGTTCTTTATAACCAGGCAAGGGTTTGGGTTTTGGAGTTTGGGTTTTTGGGGAGTGTCCCTTGTTTTCTCCCCACTTGGAGTTTGGGATGTGCCAAATCCAAATGCCTGGATCTGGGCATGGGTTTAGTTTTGGAGAGTAGGCCTTAAAACCAGGCATGGGTTTGGTTTTTGGAGAGTGTACCTTAAAACCCAGCATGGGTTTGGGTTTTGGGAACTGTTCTTTATAACCAGGCATAGGTTTGGTTTTGGGGCATCTGCCTTAAAACCAGGTGTGGGTTTGGTTTTTGGGGCGTGTGCCTTAAAGCCCGGCATGGGTTTGGTTTTTGGGAGTGTCCTTTATAACCAGGCAAGGGTTTGGGTTTTGGGGTTTGGTTTTGGGGAGTGTGCCTTAAAACCAGGCATGGGTTTGGTTTTGGGAAGTGTTCTTTATAACCAGGGATGGGTTTGGGTTTTGGAGAGTGTGCCTTAAAGCCAGGCATGGGTTTGGTTTTGGGAAGTGTTCTTTATAACCAGGCATGGGTTTGATTTTTGAGGAGGGTGCCTTGATTTTTTTCCCCCCTTGGAGTTTGGGATGTGCCAAATCCAAATGCCTGGATCTGCATTAATGTGGGAGGTTTTTCCCCCAGTGTTGAATTTCTCCCTTTTGGGTCAAGCTGGAGGGTTTTGAATGCCCCTCAGGATTCTGGTGGTTTGTGGGTTTAAGCCCAGCAGGGCTTGTGGTGGGCACAGAGCACCTTTTAGGTGGAGATTTGTGGTTTTTGGGAGCAGGGAGGGTGTGGCACTGGGAGAAGCACCCAGGAGGATCCACCCCAGGACATATCTGGGGCCATTTCTGGGCAGAATTGGGGGTGTTTGGCTGTGAGCTGGGGGTGTAAGGGTCTCTGTGCCTACCAGCCACGGCGATGAGGTGGGAGCCATCCCTGCTGCTCAAGCCCAGGGTCCTGGCTCTGGCCACCAGGTGGAAGAAGGGCACGAAATAGGCCAGGTGGCTGAAGAGGAAAGACCAGGTGAAGATGTAGAAAACGGGATCCTTCAGCGGGGAGAAGTCCAGGAGAGGCTGGGGAGGTTCCTTTGTGGTGGCTGCAGGGGTTTGGGGGCCTCTCCTGGCCTCGGTGGGGATTTCTGAGGAGCTCTCCAGGCTGGGTTTCTGCAGCTTTCCCAAGGCAGATGGATTTGCTGGCTCTGAGACGTCTGTGCCGTGGGGCACCACGAGTCTCTCTGTGCTGGGAGCCTCCTGTGCATGAAGAAGCTGTGATTCCCTCCGAGTGCTTCCATCTGAACACCCACCAGGACTTTCTGGATCCTTCTCTGCCCCTGGAGACCCCTGGTGTTGATTTTTGGCAGGTTCCCGAGGCAGCTGGGGACTGGCAGGCCACAGGAGCATGCTGGAAGGCACCAGGTTCAGCATGATGCCTCCAAAAATGAGCAGAGTACCTGAGGGAAGGCAAAGGGGGGTTTGTTCTTGGCTTGGAAAGGGGGGAGCAGCAGGAAATGGCCTTTTAGAGCAGGGTGTGGTTTTCACTGACCATGGAGGAAGCTCTCTTTGCCTTCCCCTTATGGAGGAGTTAAAAAATGAGGGATTTTTATTCCTGCTTTTCCAGCTGGAAGTTCATTTTGCTGTGATGCACAGGACAAATCCACAGCTACCTCTGGGATCTGTTTTGCTTTTCCTCATTTAAAGTCGGGATGGACCTTCAAGATGGTCTTGAAACACTACAGTAAAATTAGGGATTTCTGCTTTTGATTTCAGAGATCTGTGCTTTGACTCTGATTTTAATGAGGGATTTCTGCTTTTGATTTCTGAGATCTGTGCTTTGACTCTGACTTTAATGAGGGATTTCTGGCTTTGATTTCTGAGATCCGTGCTTTGATTTTAATGACTGATTAAGTGTTCAATTATTAACAAGATAATTAACAAGATTATTAACAAGATGTCCCCAAACTATCCTAGAAGAGGCAGAGTTATTCCTTGGTGTGCTGAACTTTTAAGAAGAGCCTCTTAGAGCCTCCAGATCTCCCCAAATTCCCTCCCAGAGTTGATGAATTGGAAGGAACAGGATCCAGCTGCAGCTTTGGAAGGACTTTGCCCCTGTAGGGCTGATCCAGCCTGGAACCAGTTTGTGTCCCTAAGGCAGCTGTGGGAATGACTGGGATGGGAGAGGCTTCTCTGCCTTCAGCTGCCCTGCCCTGGAGGAAGGAGTTTGAAACTCTGAATGCCTTCAGAGAGAAATTCCAAATTATAATGGTGCCTCCCTACCCAGATCACAGAATCCCAGACTGGTTTGGGTTGGAAGGGCCCTCAAAGCTCATCCATTCCACCCCTGCCATGGCAGGGACACCTTCACTGCCCCAGATTGCTCCAACCTGGCCTTGGGCACTGCCAGGGATCCAGGGGCAGCCACAGGGAACGGAGGGATGGTTTTGTGCTCAGTGCACACCTTGTACAGCAGCAGGGATCTGCAATCCAGGCTCTGCATCACCCTGGCACTGGGAAGCTCCTGGTCAATGAAATCTTTTGGCTCCTTGAAATTGCATCCACAGACAGAGCAGAACCAGGGATATTGATTTGGAATATTAATTGCTGGTGGAACAGCAGTGTTGCTGAAACTTTGCATGGAGCTGGAATTTACAGAACCCTTGGCAGCTTCCAGCCAGGCACCTCTGCAGGCTGGGGGCAGCTGATTTGGAGGGCAGGGAACAAAAAATGATGGTTTGGGTTGGAAGGAACCCTAAAGCTGCTCCCATTCCACCCCTGCCATGGCAGGGACACCTTCACTGCCCCAGATTGCTCCAACCTGGCCTTGGGCACTGCCAGGGATCCAGGGGCAGCCACAGGGGGACTGAGGGATGGTTTTGTGCTCAGTGCACACCTTGTACAGCAGCAGGGATCTGCAATCCTGGCACTGGGAAGCTCCTGGTCAATGAAATCTTTTGGCTCCTTGAAATTGCATCCACAGACAGAGCAGAACCAGCCCAGGGATATTGATTGGGAATATTAATTTTTTTCCTGTGCATGGAGCTGGAATTTACAGAACCCTTGGCAGCTTTGAGCTGGGTGCCTCTGCAGGCTGGGGGCAGTGATTTGGAGGGCAGGGAACAAAAAATGATGGTTTGGGTTGGAAAGGGCCCTAAAGCTGCTCCAAATCCACCCCTGCCATGGGATGGTTCTGGTTCTCCTTCCACTGTCCCAGGCTGCTCCAAACCCCTCCAAGCTGGCCTTGGGCACTGCCAGGGATCCACAGCTGCTCTGGGCACCCTGTGCCCTCTCACCTTGCCATCCATAGGCCTCGATGAGGAGCTGGGTGAAGGGGGCCATGAGGAAGGTCAGCCCCATGCCCGAGCGGGCCAGGGCGTTGCTGAGCGCCAGGCGAGCCCGGCAGCGCTTGGCTGTCACCACTGCAGCTGCCTGGTACAGACAGGCAAAGCCCAGCCCTGGGAAAGGGGAAATGACAGTGAGAGACTCCAGCAGGCAAAGCCCAGCCCTGGGGAAGGGGAAATGACAGTGAGAGACTCCAGCAGGCAAAGCCCAGCCCTGGGGAAAGGGGAAATGAGTGAGAGACTCCAGCAGGCAAAGCCCAGCCCTGGGAAAGGGAAATGACAGTGAGAGACTCCAGCAGGCAAAGCCCAGCCCTGGGAAAGGGGAAAATGACAGTGAGAGACTCCAACAGGCAAAGCCCAGCCCTGGGAAAGGGGAAATGACAGTGAGAGACTCCAGCAGGCAAAGCCCAGCCCTGGGAGAGGGAAATGACAGTGAGAGACTGCAGCAGGCAAAGCCCAGCCCTGGGGAAAGGGAAATGACAGTGAGAGACTCCAGCAGGCAAAGCCCAGCCCTGTAGGAAGGGGGAAAATAAGGGACTCCCACCCCAGAGGGACTCCATGCCTGAGGGAAGGGGGGAAATGAGAATAAAGGTTCCCACCACGGAGAGATTCCATCAAGCAAAGCCCATCCCTGAGAGAAGGGGAGAAATGGGAATAAAGGCTGCCACCACAGAGGAACTGCCATCAGGAAAAGCCCATCCCTGAGGGAAGGGGGAAAATAAGGGACTCCCAGCACAGAGAGACTCCATCCCTGAGAGAAGGGGGGAAATGAGAGGAAGAGGCTCCCACCACAGAGAAACTCCATCAGGCAAAACCCATCCCTGGGGAAGGGGAAAATGAGAGTGAGAGACTCCACTGGCAAAGCCCATCCCTGTGGGAAGGAGGGGAAATGGGAATAAAGGCTCCCACCATAGAGAGACTCCGTCCCTGAGGGAAGGGGAAAAACAAGAATATGAGACTCCCACCACAGAGAGACTCCATCAGGCAAAGCACATCCCTAGAGAAGGGGGAAAATGAGAATAAAGGTTCCCACCACAGAGAGACTCCATCAGGCAAAGCCTGTCCCTGGGGAAGGGGAAAATGAGAATTAGGGGCTCCCACCACAGAGAGACTCCATCCCTGAGGGAAGGGGGAAAATGAGAATAAAGGTTCCCACCACAAACTCCCATCAGGCAAAACTCATCCCTCTGGGAAGGGGAAAATGAGAATAAAGGCTCCCACCATAGTGAGGCTCGTGGTGCCCCATGGCAGAGATGCCTCTGAGCCAGCCTTGGGGAGGCTGCAGAAACCCAGCCCAGAGAGCTCCTCCTCAGAAACACCCACTGAGGCCAGGGGAAGGCACAAACCCCTTCCAGTCCCAAAAAGGGGCTCCTGTGTGGGGATTCCATGTGCTGCTATCCCAGGCTGGCAGTTCCTGGCTGAAAGGAGAGGATTTCTGCTCTCACAGTCAGAGGAGAGTGAGATTTGGTGGGTGAGGTTTGGTGTCTGGGGGGTTGGAGGTTCTCCCCTTTTATAAGGGATTTTAAAAGTCCAGGATCCATGTAGGTCCAGGAAAAAAATCAAAGTTGGTTGGGACTGGGATGTTGAAACTGGTGTTTTACTCTGAGCATGAAGCTCTGGGAGTTCACATGGTAACAGAAAGGAGCTGGGGATGCTTTGGCACTGAAGGTTCATGGAATTACAGAATATCCTGAGGTGGAAGGGACCCACACAGATCACATCCAACCCCTGCCCTGCACAGACACCCCAACAATCCCACCCTGGGCATCCCTGGCAGCGCTGCCCAAACACTCCTGGAGCTCTGGGCTGTGCCCATTCCCTGGGGAGCCTGGGCAGTGCCAGCACCCTCTGGGGAAGAACCTTTCCTGAGATCTAACCCAAACCTGCCCTGGTATAGCTCTGTGCATGAGTGTCTGATCCTCACCCACCCAGGAGGGCCCTGGGCTGTGTTTGGGGGTACAGGCAGTGCCAGCACCCTCTGGGGAAGAACCTTTCCCTGATCTCCATTCCAACCCTCTGACACAGCTCCTTCCTCAGGCCCTGCCCCTGATCACCCCAGGCTCCTCCAGCTGAACAAAGCCCTGCAGAACAAACCCCCCTTCCCCAGGTTTAAGGCTAAAGGAGCCGATTTCCTGCCCCTGCAGTAAAACAATGCCCATCTCACCCAGCAGGAAGCCCATGGAGAAGCAGAGGAAGGACACACTGGTGGCCTGGGTGCTGAGCAGGCAGCCCCCAGCCACCAGCCCAGCCCCGAGGATGGAGATCGGCCGCTCTCCCAGGCGCTGGCACAGCACGGACACCAGCGGGGCTGCAAGGGAAACGGGGACACAGCTCAGCCCTGGGGACACAGCTCAGCCCTGGGGACACAGCTCAGCCATGGGGACACAGCACAACCCTGGGGACACAGCACAGGGGACACAGCTCAGCCCTGAGGACACATCACAACCCTGGGGACACAGCTCAGCCCCAGGGACACAGCACAGGGGACACAGCTCAGCACAGGGGACACAGCTCAGCCATGGGGACACAGCACAGGGGACACAGCCCTGGGGACACAGCACAACCCTGGGGACACAGCTCAGCACAGGGGGCACAGCACAGGGGACACAGCTCAGCCCTGGGGAAACAGCTCAGCCCCGGGGACACAGCCCTGGGGACACAGCTCAGCACAAGGGACACAGCCCTGGGGACACAGCTCAGCTCTGGGGACACAGTTTTTTGTGGAGATAATCAAAACTCCACAACTTTTGTGGAAGCTGTAAAGCCGGTGTGTGTGACCGTGTTCACAGGGGTCCCAGGATGAGGGACGAGATGAGGATCTGACTCCATGTTTCAGAAGGCTGATTTATTATTTTATGATATATATTACATTAAAACTATACTCAAAGAATAGAAGAAAAGGTTTCATCTCAGAAGGCTGGCTAAGCTAAGAATAAAATGCCAAAGAATCATAACAAAGGCTTGTGTCGGACTCTGTCTGAGCCAGCTGGACTGTGATTGGCCATTAATTAGAAACAACCCCATCAGACCAATCCCAGATGCACCTGTTGCATTCCACAGCAGCAGATAACCATTGGTTACATTTTGTTCCTGAGAGAGTCTGTACAGAGAGTCTGAGCCACAAACCTTTGTTATCATTCTTTCCTATTCTATTCTTAGCCAGCCTTCTGATGAAATCCTTTCTTCTATTCGTTTAGTACAGTTTTAATATAATATCTATCATAAAATAATAAATCAAGCCTTCTGAAACATGGAGTCAGATCCTCATCTCTTCCCTCATCCTCGGACCCCTGTGAACACGGTCACATGGGGGGAGTGCAATTGCTGTGCAGAATTCCAGACCAAGGTAAAAGAACAGGCTTAGCAGGGAAAGGAGGGAGATAAGTGTGGCTGCTGGGGCTCTGTCTTGCTTAGTCAGTTGTTGAATGGTAAATGATTTGGGCAGGGGTCCTGTCAGGGGTGTGGGAGGGGTTCATGCTCAGCAGAGAGGTTTTGCCTGTGCCCTGAGCTCGGGGAGTGGGGCAGGGAAGGAGGCAAAGCCCAAAGGTTCAGCTTTCCTGAGCCTCCTTCCTCAGTCACAGCACGCCCAGCAGCTCCAAGGTATTCCACAGCTGGGCCAAGAGTGCTGCTTGCTCTGGAGCTCTACAATAAACCCACAGTGACGTTCAGGGCATCCCAGAATGGTTTGGGTTGGAAGGGACATTAAAGCTCACCCAGTCCCACCCCCTGCCATGGCAGGGACACCTTCACTGTCCTGAATTGCTCCCAGCCCTGTCCAGCCTGGCTTTGGACACTGCCAGGGATCCAGGGGCAGCCACAACTTCTCTGGGCACCTGTGCCAGGGCCTGCCCACCCTCTCAAGGAAGGATTTCTTCCAATATCAAACCCCAATTTCCCTTTTTTCAGTTGAACCCATTCCCTTTGTCCTGTCAGTCCAGTTCCTGATGTAGAGTCCCTCCTGTTCCCCTCGTTCACAATCTTGTACAAGGGAAGGATTCCCTCACAGGGAAGGATTTCTTTCCAATTTCCAATTTTTTCTCCACTATCCCATCTGAATGTCCCAGCGTTTAGAGCCCATTCCTGCTCAGACCCGTGTGGGTGCCAGCCCTGTCCAGCTGGGAGCAGCCTGGGGTGGGGATGGGGTGCACGGAGCCCCCTCAGTGCCCTGGGGACAGGAGCTCACCTCCCAGGAAGCGCAGGGAGGACATGATGGAGCCAATCCAGCTGAGCTGCTCTGAGGATCCCCCCATCTCCTCTCGGAAGGCCACGAAGAAAATCCCAAAGGTCTTGAGCGTCCCCATCACGAGCACATTGACCTGGGATGACAGGGGGTGCAGGGGAGGTGCCACAGGAGGGAGGAGAAGCTTTTCCTTCTGCTCATTTTGGGGTGGTGTGGGAGAAACAAACAGGGACACTTGAACTGGTGTTGGGGAATGCCAGCAGGGTGGGCTGGTCGTGGCCATGCTGCAGGTTGGTCTCAAGCAGACCCTCAGAAAACCCTTTGAAAACTGATTTTCCAAAGGAAAGGAAAAAAAATTCCCTCCCTTTCCCTTCCCCTTTTCCCTTTCCCCTTCCCCTTTTCCCTTTCCCCTTCCCCTTTTCCCTTTCCCTGTCCCTTTTCCTTTCTCTCCCATCCCAGAGCTCAGCTCTTGTAGGATGCTTTTACCTTTGAAGTTATTTTTGAGTACTGCAGCAATGGTCAAAATGGATCAGTTTGGAGCTCACTGGGAGGGGATGAGGGCAGCAGGGATGGACATTAACTGGGGCAGTTTCCCAGCATTTCTCTGCCACAGGGGCAAAGGACAGACAGTTTGTGTCCTGAATTTTAACTCCTGTTGTCTCCCTGCTGGCAGGGGGTTAATGATTGGCAATGAGTTACTCGGGGTGGATCTGAAGGGAGGAAAGCTCTCCCAGCTTGGGCCATGGTGCCTTTTTACAGCTGGACTCAGTGACCTCAAAGGTCTTCTCCAAGCTTCACAATTCCTTCATTCATCACTGGTGGGGAGATAAAGCCTGAGGCACAGAGAATTAGTGGCTTTAAGGGGTGTTGAGGTGCCAGGTCCCCCAGAGAGCACCCAACAGTGTGTGCTGCTCCCAGTCAGGGCCTCATTGCCTGGGGTGGGATCACGCCCTTGCCAGGGGGACAGGACACTCCTTTGGGGTTTGACACCCTTTGGGGTGATGGGTTTGACCAGGGAAAAGCCATCCTGGCAAGGGGACCCTCCTGCCCATCACTGAGGTGTTTGCAGGGGGCATTCCCCAGGAATGGCGTGGCTGGGCTGTGCCCTGGGGTGGCTGGGGTCAGTCTGTCCTGGGGTCAGTCTGTCCTGTGCTGGGCTCAGTCTGTGCTGGGGTCAGTCTGTGCTGGGCTCAGTCTGTCCTGTCCTGCGGTCAGTCTGTGCTGGGGTCAGTCTGTCCTGTGCTGGGGTCAGTCTGTCCTGGGGTCAGTCTGTCCTGGGGTCAGTCTGTGCTGGGGTCAGTCTGTCCTAGGGTCAGTCTGTCCTGTGCTGGGGTCAGTCTGTGCTGTGCTGGGGTCAGTCTGTCCTGGAGATCCCCCTGCCCCAGCCCCAGCCCCGGCAGGGTTTGGATCACTCCCCACTCACCAGGAAGAAGTGAAGCACCACTCCCCACGCCCACCCTGCTCCTGCTGCTCCTGAGCCTCGGCTCTTCCCGGCTGACGGAGCCTCCGGAGCCTCCAGCTCCTCATCCTCCTTCCCCTCTCCTGCTGGTGAGAGTGTCAGGACATGTGAGCACCTTCCACTGCTCCTGCTCCCATTCCCAGCCATTCCCAGCCATTCCCAACCATTCCCAACCATTCCCAACCATTCCCAGCCATTCCCAGCCATTCCCAACCATTCCTAACCATTCCCAACCATCCCCAACCATCCCCAACCATTTCCAGCCATTCCCAGCAATTCCCAACCATTCCCAGTCATTCCCAACCATTCCCATTCATTCCCAACCATTCCCAGTCATTCCTAACCATTCCAAACCATTCCCAACCATCCCCAAGCATTCCCAACCATTTCCAGCCATTCCCAACCATTCCCAGTCATTCCCAACCATTCCCAACCATTCCCAACCATTCCTAACCATTCCCAGCCATTCCCAGCCATTCCCTGGAGCCCCGGGGCTGTGCCGGGGCAGACACCACGCTCTGCACTCACTCGGGTGATGCTTCCACCAGACTCTCTGACAATTCCAATTATCCCTGTCTGAAAACAGTTCCATTTTCTTTCTCATTCCCACGAAACCACTTCAGCTTTAAGTGCCTTAGTGCTGCTTTGGCATTTTGGGCTGTGCCAGAAGCCCGGGGGTCACTCGGAGCTCTGTGCCAGCTCTCCCACTCCATCTTTCTCTGCTCCCGTCCTCTCACCCACCCCGTGCCCCTGGCAGAGGCAGGATCCTGCCCGGGGCAGCAGCTGGACCCTACAGCCCCTGCGGTGATGAACGGGAACTTTTCCTTACTGCTCGGCATGCTGGAAAATCCTCCCCGGGACTGCCGACAGCAGAGAGGAATCTCTTCAGAGCTTCTTCAGTATCTTCAGAGCTTCTTCAGAGCTTCTTCAATCTCTTCAGAGTCTCTTCAATCTCTTCAGAGCTTCTTCAATCTTTTCAGAGCTTCTTCATCTGCCCCAAAGATTAAATTCCCCTTTCCTGACCTGGCAGCCCAGAGTCTGCTCCTTCATTCCCATGCGGTGAGGATGAGGATGATGGTGTCGGCGCCGAGCGGGACATGGAGCGTGGCAAGCGCTGGGGGGACGGACCCATCCTCTTCCTCCTCCTCCTCCTCCTCCTCCTCTCTGGAGGCAGAGCTCGGCTTGTGCGGCCCCAAGGCCGGCAGTCCCTCCCCTTGCCCAGCTGGGAACAGGAAACCCGCGGCGTTTGGAGCAGAAATCCTGTTGGGAAGGGAAAGGAGGGGGAGCCTGCAAAGTTCTGAGCCCGGGAAAAGCTCCGGATCCCGGCCGAGCCGGGCTGGCAGCGCTGGCCTGGGGCCAGGCTGGGGCAGAGCCCGGTCCCTGCCTGTCCTGGCCGGGAACAGCATCACTGAGCGGGGACAGGATGGAAAACTGAGCGTTCTGCAGCTGGACAGAGCAGCCCCGGGCTTTGGCTCTGTGAAAAATACGTATTTTATGGTTGGCTTTTTGCAAATGTTAAAATGAGTGTTGTGAAATACAAAGCTGTGTTTGGTGTCAGGTACAAACAGGCAATGTGTGTATTTGTGATTGTGATATGTGTGGAGACCCACCATGGGACAGTTATAAAGACCAATTCTAATAATAACTGAGGAAAGTAAAGCATGGAAGAAGGCCTTTGAACCTATCTTTTGTTTGCAATTAACCTTAGTTGATTTAGGAGCATTGGAATTAAGGTGTTAAGGATGTTGCTTTTTGCTTGTAGCTAAGCCTTAAAGAGTTCTGCAATAATAACCTTTTGAAATATAATTTTAGAATATTACTTGTATCCTTGAAACTACAGCTCTGGAATATATATAAAGGAAACATGCTTATGTCACACCTCAACAAAACAGTGAAAAGCAGCTTGAGAAGGGAAGGTGAACATCACCTCAAGGATTTATAGTTTCAACCAAGGGAAGCTGGACATCACCATTATGAGATTTACAGTCCTTGCAATTAAAAGGTGGATCCACATCTGGAGAGCTGGACCTCACCACATGGGATTCTTCTTCCTTCTTTTGGAAACCAGACCAGCACCATCTGGGGATGCTCCTTTTGGGATACATCCTGAGAAAAACTAAATCACCATAGTGTATAGAATTGTGATGTAAAAATTGGGAATAGAAACTGCTGATGAGTAAGAATTGGAATAGAAACTGCTGAGAAAGCTGATGAGTACCCCTATAAATACCTGTAAGCCTCAACTATGGGTGTGCAGTTGGAGGGAAAACCTCCCCCACTGTACCCAGCACTGTATTGCTCATACTTTACCATATTAATTAATAAATTGATTGCTGCTTGAATATTGGCCTAGTCAAGCTTCTTATTCATAACATTAGTATATGTGTTATGTTAGAAAGTGATGCTGTGTTAATTCTCTTAAGTAGCTGTTAGTATAGTTTTAGGTTGTAAGAAATGTTGAAATAGAAACTATGCTGTGTAGGATACTTTTCTTTAAAGTATCTTGACATTTATCTTGACTTTTGTTTTTTTTGTCAAATAATTAAACCATATATCCCTAATCATTTGTTATCAATGCACTTTCAATTTACCTTCCTCTATATTTCCTAGTATCAAAAACAATAACCAACTGTCATCCTCACTCCATAAACATCCCCAAACAAACATAGAATTAACCCCAGAACTACTCCCCATAAAAAAACCCAAACAAAAATACAAACCATGATGAGAAATCATCAACCAACCACACACCAAATTTTACGTTCTTGTAGCTTACAAAAAGCATGACACTGAAGATGTCAAGATAAAGGACTTGGTACATTGATAAAGGATGTAAAGAAAGGACTCACAGAGAAATAGCAGCCACAGGACACCCAAATCTTTCAGAGAAAAAGAATTTATTGCTCCATTATCAGCAGAAATGAACTTCTTCCTGCCTCGAAGGCACTGTCAGGATTCAGAGGGAGAAGTTGACACTGCCCAGACAGAATCCTGTATTTGAATGGAATTTATGCATCATGGATGAGGTGTATGAATATGCAACAGGCTGTTTAAGGGTTAATCCTCTGTTAACATGGTCCTTTTTCAGGTTTATTTTGCCCAGAAAAAGGTACCCAGACCATCTGTAACTCTTTGTTTCTATTGTCTCACATTGTCCCAATCCAAATCGTCCAAATTATTATTACTCTAACTGTATTACTAATTTTATAACCATTTCATTACTATGAAACTTTTTAAAATTAAAAAACCCCACAAGTGATTGGTGTTTTTCACAGCTCCCTGCCCCACTGTGAATCTGCCAGAGCTCCTGGGTGAGCACAGCCCTGCTGCTCCTGCTGAGCTGCCAGCCCAGGTGGGATTCACTCCTGAGGTCAGAGAAAAGTGGCATCAGTGGGGACAGTGATGCTCTCTGCCCTCCCTTGGCACAGAATGCAAAACCTCCTGGTTTTTGAATGCATCCTCCTGGTGGAGCCCAGGATCTCCGGGAGCTTTCCCTGCAGGAAAAGGGTTTGAATATGTACCCTGAGCTTTATTTAGGATCAGGTTTGTAGTGAGAGTGGTTTAAGGAGGGGGCAGAGGGGCAGCAGCACTCAGAGCTGTTGGATCAGGGGGAAACTGCAGCTCCAGCTGCTGCCAGCCTGCAGGGATGGAGAGGGGAGCAGCACTCCCAGGGCCAGCACAGGCCTTGGATAAGCCAAGATCAGGGCTTGGATAAGCCAAGATAAGGGCTTAGATAAGCCAAGATCAGGGCTTGGATAAGCCAAGATCAGGGCTTGGATAGGCCAAGATCAGGGCTTGGATAAGCCAAGATCAGAGCTTGGATAAACCAAGATCAGGGCTCGGATAAGCCAAGATCAGGGCTTGGATAAGCCAAGATAAGGGCTTGGATAAGCCAAGATCAGAGCTTGGATAAGCCAAGATCAGGGCTTGGATAAGCCAAGATCAGGGCTTGGATAAGCCAAGATCAGGGCTTGGATAAGCCAAGATCAGGGCTTGGATAAGCCAAGATCAGGGCTTGGATAAGCCAAGATCAGGGCTTGGATAAGCCAGGATCAGAGCTTGGATAAGCCAAGATCAGAGCTTGGATAAGCCAAGATCAGGGCTTTGCTGCAGCTGAACACTGAGCTGAGTGTGGAGCCTGGCCTAGCAGGGGCTACTCCTGTGTGAGCCTGGGACTATCACTGCCCAACAGAGTAAAATCTGAGTAAAGAGAGCAGTGACAATGGCATTGCACTGACTCAGCCCTGAGTGAGTCACTCAACTGTGGGAATTCCCACTCAACTGTGGGAATTGGAAAAACTTCCACAGACACTGCAGGGTTTGATTTACAGCCTTGGGAGAAGCTTGGATTGATGTAAAAATACAACACACAGATATTAAGCAGAAAAAGTATAATTATATTGCTATATAATATTTTCTATATAATATTTTTTATGTTTCTATAGTTGTAAGTAAGAATATGCCTTAAGTGAGAAACTGTATGGGTAAGATAGTGAAAGGTTTATAGTGTAGTAATGTAATAGTATGGAGTAGATTGGGAGTTAAGAAGTTATAATAGAAACATTAAGTTAAAACTTGTGAGTTAAAAGCCCATTAGATAAAAGTATCTGCAGAAATAAGTAAAGGTGATAGGTCAGAAAAACAAAATAAATCCTTTGGCCTTTTCTGTTGGTTTAGAAAGTTCTATATTGCCTTATAACAAAAAATCTTGTGCTACTCTTGAGCCATGGCTGAGTGCTTGCTCCTCTAAAACCTCAGGGCCTCTGAGACTGATGTTTACCTGAGCAAGAAATCATTCTTAGCATGAAAAGTCCCATCCCTTTACTTCTAGCAGTGACAATCTCATGTTTTTCCCTCATGCTCTGCTGTGAAACTCCCCTTCCCCTTCCCCTTCCCCTTCCCCTTCCCCTTCCCCTTCCCCTTCCCCTTCCTGCAGCTGCAGCCCAGCTCCTTTTCCCTCCCCAGCACACAGGAACCATTGGGGTGCAGCAGCTCCCCCATCCTTCTCAGGATTGTTTTCCTGCAGCATTTCAAATCTGTGAGAGGAAGAGGGGCCTGGGTTTGTGAGGACGTTGCCAAGATCCCTTCACATCTCCCAGGGCCAGGTTTGAACTTCAACCCAAGGCACAGTGAGCAAGAACTCCCACAGAATGTTTAACTTGAGGAGGTGAAATGTTTCCTGGGAGAAATTCCTCAGGAAGCTTTTGTGCCTTTTCTAGTGAGGAGCCTCCAGAGTTCCAATCTTTCTCCAGAGAAATGCTAATGAAGGCAGTGGGAGAAGTTACCTTGCCAGGCCCAGCTCTCCCAGCCACAGCAAAGAGGAGGAAGGAAGGTTTTTACTGCTCATTTATTGATTTCTCCAACAAATGAGGCCCCCCAAATAGAGCAGGGAGGATCTGCTTGTTACAGGGCCTGGGGGGAGCCCATGCTTCATCCTCAGCAGCACAGGGGCTGAAATGTGAGCTGGAGAGGCAGGGAGGGAGGGAGAGCCTTCACCCCAGGTTTGGAGCTCCAAAGGGAGGGTGGCAGTGCAGGGAGGAGCTGGAGCAGAGCTGCTCCCAGGGCTCAGGACAGCAGCTTGTGCACGGCCACGGTGATGCTGTCGTGCTTCTGGATCATGATGTTCCTGCAGCAAGGACAAGGGGCTGGGGGGGCAGCTGGGCCAGCAGCAGCTGCTGGGGCTGGGGAGAGGACAGGGGAATCCCTGGGCAGCCCCAGGGCCCATCCCCACCCCAGAGCTTGGCTGCTCCATCTCCCCCTCCATGGGCAGTGATGGAGACACCCCTGCTGCCCCAGGGACTGACAGGGTCTGCCACCCACAGGGACCCCAGGCTGTGTC